TTTTTTTTTTTTTTTTTCTAATAGAAATAGACTCTTTCTCTGTCACCCAGGCTAGAGTGCAGTGATGGCGCCACTGTCCATGCAAGATCTGCCCCCAGCACACACACTTGCCCACTTCCATATCATAGACAAGACCTCCATTGTTTTAACTTGTATTCTTTTTGGTATTAGCAATGTTGAATACTTTTCTGTTGGCCATTGCATTTCTTCTTTTACATATTGTCTATGCACGTCATCTATTTGTTTTCTTTCTTTTTTTGGAGACAGGGTCTTGCTCTGTCACCCAGGCTGGAGTGCAGTGGTGCAATCACAGCTCACTGCAGCCTTGACCTCCTGGGCTCAAGTCATCCTCCTGGGTAGTTATGACTACAGGCACACACGACCATACCCAGCTAATTTTTTTGTTGTTGTTGAGATGGGGTCTCGTTTTTTTTGCTCAGGCTAGTATTGAACTCCTGGCTTCAAGCAAGCCTCCCACCTCTGCCTTCTAGAGTGCTGGGATTACAGGCATGAGCCATTGCACCCGGCGCATCTGTTTTTCTATTGCAATATGAATCCTGGAGCTTCCTTAATAGCTTCTTGGATGTTAAGCACATCTGCCTTTGTTGCGTGTTGTAAACGGTTTTTGCTGTCTAATGTTGTGTGGCATTTTCTGACATACAGAAGTTAGGATATAGAGAAGAAAGTCCTTTCTCAGGTTGGGCGTGGTGGCTCATGCCTGTGGTCGTAGCACTTTGGGAGGCTGGGGCAAGAGGATCACTTGAGCTCAGGAGTTCAAGACCCGTCTGGGTAACATAGCAGGACCTCCTCTCTACTCAAAAAAGCAAACAAACAAAAAAGCAAAATCAGCCAGGAGTGGTGGCACACGTGCCTGTAGTCCCTGCTACTCAGGGGACTGAGGTGGGAGGATCATTGAGTCCAGGAGTTCCAGACTGCGGTGAGCTGTGATCACGCCACTGCACTCCGGCCTGGGCAACAAAGCAAGTCGTTGTCTCCAAAAAAATTAAATTCTCAGATAAATAATCATCTGTGTGGTTTTTCATATTTAACTCTTTATCTTTTTGTTCAACTCTTTCATCCTTCCAGAATTTATTTTGCTGTTTTTGAGAGGAAATGGGAAATTAAGTTCCCTGCCCTTCGTGTGAAACAGCTGTTTCATACCTTATAGTTTGTTCTCGTAGACATCAGGTTGTCATTGTCTTTCTGGGACTTTTTGTGAGTTTTTTTTTTTTTTTTTTT